ATGCACCCACCAATGATAGCAACGACGACATTAAAGATCAATTCTACGAGCGGCTGCAGTCAGTGATAGAGAAATGCCCAAGAAAGGACCTCACCATTCTAATGGGAGATCTAAATGCCAAAGTCGGAATAGACAACACTGGATATGAAGATATTATGGGACGACATGGACTGGGAGAAAGAAACGAAAATGGAGAAATATTTGCAAATCTATGCGCATTCAACAAATTGGTCATCGGAGGCACAATATTTCCACACAAGCGTATACACAAGGCTACATGGATCTCACCGGACCACACTACAGAGAACCAAATAGATCATATTTGCATCAACAAAAAATTCCGAAGGACAATGGAAGATGTGAGAACCAGGAGAGGTGCTGACGTAGCTTCAGATCACCACCTAGTTGTAGCCAATTTGAAACTGAAGCTAAAAAAGAACTGGACAAGTGGACAAACAGCAATACAAAGGTTCAATACAGCCTTCCTTCGAGATACTGTCAAACTCAATGAATTCAAGATAGCTCTCAACAACAGGTTCCAAGCCTTACGAGATCTACTGAAAGAAGAAGAAACTACTATGGAGGACAACTGGAAAGGCATCAAGGAAGCATTAACTTCAACGTGTCAAGAGGTTCTCGGTCTAAAGAAATACCATCATAAGGAATGGATCTCTACAGAAACACTGGACAAGATCAAAGAAAGGAAGAATAAGAAGACAGCAATCAACAAGAGCCGAACACGAGCAGAGAAAGTCCAAGCACAAGCTGAATACATAGAAACAAACAAGCAAGTGAAGAGGAGCATTAGAGCCGACAGGAAGAAATACGTGGAAGAATTAGCAACGACGGCAGAAAAAGCTGCTAGAGAAGGAAACATGAAACAGCTTTACGATACAACGAAGAAACTATCAGGGAAATACAGTAAACCAGAGAGGCCGGTCAAAGACAAAGAAGGCAAGCCAATCACCGAAATTCAACAACAACGTAACAGATGGGTAGAATACTTCGAGGAACTCCTGAATAGGCCGGCTCCAATGAATCCGCCGGACATCGAAGCAGCACACATAGATCTTCCTATAGATGTCAATCCACCAACTACGGAAGAAATTAGAATGGCCGTCAGACAAATCAAGAACGGGAAAGCAGCAGGACCCGACAACATACCAGCTGAAGCACTGAAATCAGACATCGAAACAACCACAAGCATGCTTTATCTTCTATTCAAAAAGATTTGGGAGGAACAAGTGCCGATGGACTGGAAAGAAGGACACCTCGTCAAGATTCCAAAGAAAGGAGATCTGAGCAAATGTGAAAACTACAGAGGCATAACACTACTGTCAATACCAGGGAAAGTCTTCAACAGAGTGTTGCTGAACTGGATGAAACACGCAGTAGACGCCAAAATTCGATATCAACAAGCTAGATTCCGTAAGGATCGGTCATGCACAGACCAAATTGCGACACTACGGATAATCGTCGAACAATCAATTGAGTGGAACTCGTCACTATACATCAACTTCATTGCTTATGAAAGGCATTTGACAGTGTAGATGGGAGGACATTATGGAAACTTCTTCGACACTACGGAATTCCTGAGAAGATTGTCAATATAATCCGGAACTCATACGACGGACTACAGTGCAAAGTAGTGCATGGAGGACAGCTGACAGATGCATTCCAAGTAAGGACCGGAGTCAGACAAGGCTGTTTACTCTCTCCCTTCCTTTTTCTCCTGGTGGTCGACTGGATTATGAAGACCTCAACATCTGAAGGAAAACATGGAATACAATGGACAGCTCAGAATCAATTAGACGATTTGGACTTCGCAGATGACCTAGCCCTCCTATCACGTACACACGAACAGATGCAGATGAAGACAGCCAGTGTAGCAGCAGTCTCTGCATCAGTAGGCCTCAGCATACACAAAGGGAAAACTAAGGTCCTCAAATTCAAAGCGGAGAACAGCAATCCAATCACTCTTGATGGCGAAACTCTGGAAGATGTAGAATCCTTCACATATCTGGGAAGCATCATCGATGAACAAGGAGGCTCAGATGCAGACGTAAAGGCGAGGATCGGTAAAGCAAGGGTCGCATTCCTACAATTGAAGAACGTATGGAACTCAAAACAGCTTTCAACCAATATCAAAGTGAGAATCTTCAATACGAACGTCAAGGCAGTTCTACTGTATGGAGCTGAAACTTGGAGAACTACAACAACCACAATCAAGAAAGTACAAGTATTTATAAATAGCTGCCTTCGCAAGATACTCAACATCCATTGGCCGGATACCATCAGCAACAGCCTTCTGTGGGAGAGAACAAAGCAACTTCCAGCTGAAGAGGAAATTAGGAAAAGACGATGGAAATGGATAGGACATACATTACGCAAATCGTCAAACTGCATCACGAGGCAAGCCCTAACTTGGAATCCTGAGGGGAAACGAAAAAGAGGAAGGCCAAAGAACACATTAGGTCGGATAATAGAAGCAGATATGAAAACGATGAATTACAACTGGACGGAGCTAGAAAGGATTGCCCAGGACAGGGTTGGATGGAGAATGCTGGTGAGCGGCCTATGCTCCTTCACGAGGAGTAACAGGCGTAAGTAAGTAAGTAAGTACAGCAAAACGATCAAATCGCTGCTTAAACGCCCACCACATCAACCCCGTCTAATGTCTCTGTAGACTATCCCTGTTACATGTGACCTGCCAATTCAAGGACAGTATTTCCTATCATATTAGTGAGACTACAACTCATGCTTGTTTTATTCACGTCAATAAGACACAAAATATTGGTCGGCATGTTTATGCGTTTTACTTAATGACTACAAATCCCTTAATTATTCGTACTAATCGAGTTGTTCGTTTTTGCGTTTAGAAACAGATAAAGGTTGGAGCCAAGTTGTCCTTGTTCTGATGACTGCTTTCATATAGACTCTGAGTCGTCAGTATCGGGTTTACGTTTTCAATGGAATGTCTGTAGGACAAGTTGAACACTACGAAGTTATTTTGTTAAAACTGAAAAATGTTGGGTTTTTACAACCACCAATCGCCTAAGAATTCAAGAATTATCGTAGGTCATTTCTGAAAGAAAACTGCACACTACAATACAGAGGATGCTTAGGATCTCTCCAGATATATCGGTTTCACAGAGCCTTTAAATGTCTCGATGATGTGGGTTTTGGATATCAACGTATTACGAAGACTGTTTACGGGGCGCCTAACTTTTTCCACTTATTGTGGAGCATTCCGTTTGAGGTTCTTGGTGGGTAGACAATAATATACTAACAGAAGTTTCGAAACTCAAATGAGGAGAGGTTGAAGTTCTTCCTCATCCCTATTATAGACTGGGAGACAATCTCGTACTAGCGTTCCGTATCTTAGATAACGTGTAGAACGGAAAAATGTTCTACTGGTTTGTTCTTTCTAGAAGTGCTGATCTCTGACGCTCATAAAATGGTCAAAAAGTACTATCGTATGGACTGTGGTCGAGATTTCGCTATCCAGTCGAGTGGTGAATGACTGGAATGACTTTGATGAATTCTTGAAGTCACCCCTTTTGGTTAATGCTTCCAAGGAGGAACTGGATGTTCTTGAGAAACTTTACTACCAGATCAACATAAGTTAACAGGACGTCCTTGCGCGCTATTTAAAAAAAGACAGCGGTATTATTACGCGTTGGGTTAAATTTACTATTTTGTACGTAAATTACGCATCAAAACCACCGTTTCCATTTTAATTGAATTTATTTAAGCTGAAGTGATATTGTACTTGAGTGCATTGACTTTGCTTATATATATATATATATATATATATATATATATATATTGCATCAAAGCATACTTGGTTAACTTTGACTTGATTTATACGCTTAAGGCTTGAAATGTTTTTACATACTCACTTTGGGTTACCATTTTTGGTTAACTTTTAGGATGGTCTGTTCTGCTTACAAATCTGGACAGCCATATTGCTTATTCCTTGTGGAAGAGGGGATGCATTGTGATAAGTGAGAAGAGGTTCCTCATGGTGTGTACATAGTCACACGGAGATACCAACTCCAAGACCTGTACATGTTGTTGAGGAAACTTTTCTATTGCTGATCACGAACCTCAAACCAGGCCTTGATGGTTACATCCACGAATGCTGTCCTCTCTTGCGGACCACTCGCGACGCTCTTCGACATTTTACTTTCATCCGCTCAACACCCTAGAGATTGGAAAGATGCTATAGTCAGTCCCATATTTAAAGATATTTCGAGACAGACCGTATCTAACTACCTACCTGTCAGTTTAAGCAGCATAGTCGTTAAGTTACTTGAAAAGATAGTTCGGGTCAAGTTATTAAGTTGTATAGGTTAGTACAATCTGTCAACTCTTGGTTTCGAAACGAGAATTCATGCTCGACCAACTTATTGCGAGAGAGGATTGGACAGCAACTCTGGAAAACGGACTGTCTGTCGATGTGATATCTATAGGCTATAGCAAAACGTTTAACAATGTTTCACGCTTAGGGCTTATGCAGAAGCTATCGAGCTTCGGCATAACAGGTGTTGTACAGGAATGGATAGAAAACGTCTCGTGTGACCGCAGAGAGAGAAAGAGAGTGTGGGTTAATGGAACACTATCTGAATGGAAGTTGTTCGAAAATGGTGTACTCCAAGGCACCACCTTAGGTCCCTTACATTTCCTCTGCGTCAATGAATTACCTCTATTGCTTTGGTCGTCGACATTAGTGTTTGTGGATGACGTCAAAATCTAAAGAACAGAATGACTTGGAAGTAATAATGAGTCACGGCTTGAAAACAATTGCGCATTGCAGCACAGCCGCTGCTTGGTGGTTAGTGACTGGGACGCCTTGCACGAACATTTGATGTCAACACCATCAGTGAACATTTTCAGGTGGAAGTTGGACCTTCACTAGAAGAAACATTATCAGGATTAACACGGGCACATCAAACTACTATTCTTATTACTAAAGACTATTCTTATAACTGAGTGCAAAATATTGCGCGCAATTCCGCTGTTGCGTTACAGCTATTCTGATGGTGTTTCTAATAGAATGTATCCTTCTCATTACTCTATGGAGTGGTGTCAGCTGCCTAGAGATACCTCCATATGGAACATCAAAACTTCCAGTCATAAAAGATGATCAAATCAAATCGACCAAGGAAGTTAATTCAGCATGGAATTTGTTTTTATCTGGATTTTCGTCTTCATTTTACGTTATTATAATATCTGAAATTGGAGATAAGACATTTTTCATCGCTGCTATTATGTCTATGCAACATCCACGAGCTTTGGTTTATTGTGGAGCGATGCTCGCTCTTATCACCATGACAATGTTGTCGGGTAGCGATATCTATTCCTAACTGTTTTCTTACAGCGTTACTTGGTTACGCAACAACAATCATCCCGCGATTTGTAACCTTATATTTATCCGGTGCTTTATTTTTTATATTCGGCCTGAAAATGCTCTATGAAGGTAACGTTCGACAAGCTTCATAAGTGCTTAGCATATACTATGTCTTCCAGTACAGCCAAAGAAGAGTTCGATGAAGTTCATATGCAACTCACACAGTCTAGAGCAGATGATATAGAAACTGGTCGTCCAACCCCAGACTCTCCCCAGGGATTTCCCTCCAAATTACTTACGATCACAAGAAACATATTTACTCCAATCTTTGTGGAAGCTTTTGTGCTCACATTTTTTGCAGAATGGGGTGATAGGTCTCAGATAACTACAATTGTTCTTGCAGCTACAAAGGTAAGTGACCACCTCGACACCACAAGTTAGGTTTGTTAACATAACGTTCCATAATAAATTTGCATAAATTAAGTATCCAGCTATCTTTAGTAACATATTTCTTAAAATTCTTTAAAAGTACATGAAAATTCCGGATCTTTCTCGTCCCTAATGAGGAAAGCGAATGCAGAATATTCTCACTCCTAACTGTGAGTTGTGGGTTTATTGAAAATGACATAACGTACATTGTCACGCGTACTGTTAGTGAGGGTAGTTGTCATTTACTCGTTGCCCAAACCTTATTGCCGTTACCCCTCTGTACATTTCGAAGTATGACCACGCCCTCGAGTCTTACGTTGCTGTTTTTAGGCCTACTGTTTTTCAACTGATTTACCTGGCATAGTAGAAAATAAAGGAAAAATTGTTCCAGCCAATGTAGCTCTGTTGGATCATTAAGATGTAGAGCTTGACCATCACCTCAAGATAGAAGTTATAGTCGTGATGTCTAAAATGCATTAATTAAGTTTACCCTCTAACTGGTTGTCATACTTATGTAACCTGTCAGTTCTTGCCGTTTTATCCCCGCTTTGAACAGCATGATTTTACTCTACCCATAGGTAGAACACTTAGCTTAATCTAAATAATGTATATTTCGAATAAATCCCCTTTTCCCACACATTTCCAAAACTGTTGGTTTTGCTGTATCTATTACATCTGTTTATTTTAAAATAATTGATTAGTCTTTGCTCTGGTGTCAAGTCTGAAATGTCTTTCCGTAATTTCTGCCTACACACTGACAGATTGTAGCTCGGATGAAATCGAAGATGAGCTCCACCACCAGTAATGTGATCTCATGAAATCGCATTCGGTAATGCGAGCCGGAGACTTGAATGTGTAGTTCGTATCTAGGCACATTATTTATTTGTTTGTTGGAACACAAATATTGGTACAAGGGGGCACCAGATATATATGAGCCACACAAACACAATGAGAATGGGAAGAGAAAAATAATGTAAGGTGCGTATAAGAAAAAAAGAACAATAACGACTGCAGATTAGTGTGTGGTAGTTTAATATTAATAATAATAGTGGGGGAAACGCAAAGGTACAACCAGAAGGATTCTTTCAGTTAAGAAAGTTACAACCGCTTCTTATGAAGAAAGTAAAGGAAGGTCACAGCAGGATCGCCTCTCTTCTATTCTGAGCCATATCTGATAACGTCCCTACCCATTGTGCTGCACTATCTCTCGGACCCCAGCCAGGGAGTCGAGAAGGACCAACAGAAGCCAACCTTTTGCAGCTTTCTTTCATACCACGACACAATGTCATACACTAACCACCTCTCCGCCTTTTCCAACCAGTCCCAGAGTCGGCAAATAATGCACGACGTGGAGTTCTCTGGGACGACATTCGGAGAACATGTCCAAGCCACCGAAGTCGATGTTTCAAGATAATGACAGCAATAGACTTATCGTCTCTGTGCCCGAACACACGATGCTGAACCTCTGCACTACTAACATGGTGTTGCCACTGGATGTCATCAATCCTTCGGAGACAACGATGATAACACATATAGTTGTTTAACATCCTCAACTCGGAGGCCATGTTTCACAAGCACAGAGCAAAACTACTCTCACCGACGCGTTGTAAATCCGACCTTGTACAGCCTGGCTTCTGTTGGTCCTTCTCGACTCCCTGGCTGGGGTCCGAGAGATGGTGCGACACAGTGGCTAGAGACGTTATCAGAATAGAAGCCAGTGGCGATCCTGCTGTAACCTTCTTTTACTTTCTTCATAAAAACTGGTTGTGTCCTCCTTAACTGAAAGATTTCTTCTGACTGTGCCTTTCCGTTCTCCCATTTTTACCATTATTATCATTACACCACCTTACACCAACCTCTTCGTTATTATTCTCTTTTTTCCCCTCAAATTCTCATTGTTTTGTGTGGCGCATTCTTGTACCAATATTTATGTGTTTAAATAAATAATGCGTATAGTTTTATCGTATAATTGTTAATTAACTAAACTATTCATATTGATCTCTCCCTCTTATCATAAGTTTCATTTTAACCTATGAACTGTTATTATACGATTTTTCATTCTTGAATTATTCCCTGTCTATTAATCACTACCTCCCACGTTCACAGCCACATTTGGCCAAATCTTATATAAATGTTGTTTCCTATTTTATGGTGCGATGTGGTCTGTTTGATTGGTGTATAAACTCAGTATGTTTGAAATATAATGATTCATATAGCAGAGGCTCGGATTGGTGTTCTGGAATTAACTGGCTGGGCTAGACAGGAAGCGGGACCAGTAAGGACTCTAGACTGCTCATACGGGTTTACGTGTCATTGATACGATCGGTAATTCACTGCTCCCTAATTGGCGGTGACAAGATATAACAAGTTCCTTAATCGGGAAGTCACCACCATCATTAAAAAGAGCCGGAGGTAAGTCATCTGGGCCCGGTGATTTGTAGCGTTTCAAGAATTTGAGTCCCTTGCGGATTTCCGCCCCCCATCGTCCAGGACGTCGACGGATGTCAGTGACTGGCACCCGTCATCCTCACAGATTGCTTCGCTCACATCAGACTTCTTGTTGTCAGTGGCTCGGATGAGTTGAAAGAGCTTCCGGTAATTACCAGAAGCAGCTGCTGCTTCCAGCTCATTAACACGCTCCGACCACCAGGCTTCTCGGTCCTTACGCAAGCTTTGCCCGATTTCATTACGTAACAGTCGTCGTTTGTGGTCAAACTCACGGTCACCCGGAGTAGACCGACGGGTTTCAATGAGTTGTAGGAGCCTAAAGAAACGCAGTGCTCATAAAGGGGACGTTTCGCAAAGCCGCAAGCGTCTTTACTCGCCACCTTGATGGCGTCATGAAGTTGCAACCAATGCTCATCTATAATTTTCGGTGGAGTGGTAGCTAGCCTAGAAGCTAGCTCGGTTCGATACTTACTTGCAACAGAAGTTGCAACCAACTTGCTGACATCAATCCTTTGGTGGCGGTCACTTCGTTGGCCACTGAAAAGTAAGGTAAGATTCCCGCAGACCATGGCATGACCGGAGTCCATAGATAGGTACTCCAAAAGGAGCGGCAGTCTTGTACACAACCACGCCAGCGGTAGCTGATCGCGATGTGATCAATCTGAGTCCAGGCTTGGGATGCTGAGGGAGGATGCCAGGTGGCACATCGGCGATGACTGTGCCGAAAGTTAGTGCTAGCCAAACACAGATTGTGGTCTGTGCACAGTTGCAGTAGACGGTCCCCGTTATCTGACCTGCGACCAACGAGTCCCATCGGCCACCTAAACGACTCTCTTCTGTGTCTAGACCCTCGACCCGAGCATTCAAGTTTTCGGCTAGTACTATAATATCTGTCGAACACACTTTCTGGAGAACAGTTAACTGGTGGTAAAATTCATCCTTGATTGCATCCGAACTGCAATCTGTCGGGACATAAGCGGAGATGACGAAGAGTAATCTAATAGCACATAATCGAGTGCCTCAACTCAAGCGCTTAGTGCGACACCAACCCCAGCAAGACCAAACGAAGATGCCACAAAGTCCCCGGATAAGCGCACGTAAGACAAACTTTTTGAAGCAACAGATGGACAGCGGATTTGTAGTACTTCACCAGAGTCTTGAATGCGGGTTTCGGATAGACAACAAACATCAATATTAAGACTTTCCAAAGACATAGCCAGCCCTATCTGTTGACCAACCTGCATAAGTGTGCGAACGTTGAAGGCAGCCAGTTTGAATGGCGCACGTGGTTTCAGAAAAACTGCTTCAGTACTCATATTCGATGGTAACATACAACTTTCAACCGGACAGTGACTCGTGAACGTTTAGATAGAACCAAGTTTCCACCATAGGCAAGCTGCTGTTTAAGTCGAAAAATAAGGATAAACAAAGTGGGAATAAAAAAGAGTGAATAAGTGACGTAGTAAAAAATAACAATAATAATAATGTGAATTGTTTGACTGTTAATCGAAGCGAAAGTAGTATTTTCAGTAGATATCATCATTTCATTCTATTTGACGATATGTACTGAAAATACTAGGCACATAGGAAAGTTGTGTAGGCACCCAACAGGGACTCGACGGTTTCACATCAGATAACGGTGAGCTTTGCATAGACTACATCCTGTTTTTGGCTAGCACCGATTTTCGACACAGTCATCGTCAATTTGCTACCTGATATCCTTCCTCCTTAATCGAAGCTTGGACTTAGATTTATCACACTGCTATCAGACCTCACTTATGTGGATGTTTACAAGACTCCCGCTCATTTATAAGTACCTAACCAGACTCTGATTATGGCCTGGTTTTCAGCAAGCCTATCTAGCGTTTCGACAGATTGACATAAGGAATTTGGTTGTAGCTACCGTTGCAATCAATTATCAAGCCTAGTTATCCACCTACTAAAAGGTGTAGATGAATACTGTATGCACTTTTGTAAGTCTGTGAAGGTAAATGACAGGTAAAGTCACTTACGGCTTCTCAAAACGTCCTGCTTATAAACGCTTGTTTTCTGCAGACTCTTTCGTACTCCTTTTGACACCTCGATCTACGGATAACCTCAACTTTGATGATGCTACATACAGATAACTACAGAAAATGTTGAGTAAGGGCTAATAAACTTGTTCGGAGCTTGCTTACGAGTTGGGAACAACAGCCGAATCTTATAACTCCCAAGACACATTCTGAATCATCCGAATCATTGCACAAAAAGGCGTGGTGTCAGTAAAGTTTTGTGTAAAGTTAGTGGTATACCGATTGGTAACGTCCGAAGGTATCTTGGACAATAGACCGAGTTTTCTAAGAAAACGTTCATCTGGCTTTTTGCCGCTAACAAATTCGACCAAACTGTCTTCTCTGTCGTGGACGATGACAACCAGTCCACCTAACAAAGCAAAGGTTCAGAAGGAACTCCAACTTATTAATCGCTACCATTCGCCAGTCCCAGTTTATCTCTCCCTGGCTCTTTTTAAAATAGGTGTCAAACGTCTGGCCAGAGAAATGATACGGATATTTAGAAAAATTTGTTGGACCGCGAATGTAGTATAGCTGCTCATGTATATTTCAGTTTGTTCATATTAAGTTTGGTTAAGCCCTTTTATTAACTTATTTAACAGACAGTCATTCGTACAACAACAACAACAACTATATATACCATTGTATCTTTATTATTGTTTCGCTTGTGTGAATATGTATGCCTAAGCATTGTTTACCGCCTACGCACATATTCATTCTGATAGCTTTAGTGTTAGTCGCTTAAGTGACTCGATGACGCATTCATTTTCCTATGTATATATATTTACATTTTAATCTTATTCATTAACTCACTCGCTCGCTTGCTCTTCGGCACTCGCATATCGTTCTTGCTTCGTGTGACTGGGGTTTTGGTGGTCTGTGCGTAGTGCAATGACAAGCGTAATCAACGCTTCGCATTAGTCTTCTGATTTATGCACTGCTGGGCGTTATCTAGTAACGATTATCAGGACGAGCAGTATACGAAGTTAAATAATCATACCGAATACCGACCACCACAGTAGCTTCAGACTTTATCAGATGTGGCTTAGGATAGAAACTAATGGCGATCCTGGTGTTTTTACATAACAATGAAAGGAACTCCCTTAACTAAAATAAGTCTCTCTCGGTTTTTCTTAACTAAATTGTACCCCTCTATTTCTTCACCATGTTATCTCTATATTTGTGTGATGCATACTTTTCTTGGTTCCTTGCTGTATCACAATGTATTTGCATTAAATAAGAAGCAGATAGCAACAAAAATTATTTTCATACCTTTAATTCATACATTTTCTGAAAAGCTTTCTAATCAGGCTTTGAAAAACTTAATAATTCAGGATTTTACTACAGTAGGCTTTTTACGATTTTAGTAGTAGTGCTTTCACTGGCACACTGTTCTCAGCATTTTCTTTTCTGATTTTCGTTTTCATCTGTAGAGTGCTTTGGGTGTAATCGTAGGTGGAGTTGTTGGTCATGCTTTATGCACAGGTTTAGCTGTCCTTATGGGTCGTTTTGTTGCTCAACGCATTCCTGTACAGTGGAGTAAGTAAATACTTGATTCTCAGAAATTCAGTATCAAATACATATCTCGATTATCTTTTCATAATTTCCACGGTCTGTTATCTATTACTTGCTTGGTGAAAATTCAAAAGTAATCAGTTTGACTCATTGAATCCATCAAATCTCTAAATCTCCTTAGAAAGAACGCTTTTAAAACATTACAGCAGAGTGTAGACTTATAATTAATAGAAATCCCGTATCATGATTGATTAATGTCCTTTTCAGTGATTAAAGCATGTAACCCAGAATCAAAGGACTGTCTACACATATATCAAAAGCAAAGAGCTATTACTGAAGCTAGGCTGAATAAATATACCACAGCGATGGAACGAGACTCAGACCACCACAACCTTTTTAATATGTTATTAAGCAGCACATTTAAAATGTAAGTAATCATATCCGATGTTAATTATATAAATTATGAGAGTCAGCTATTGAAGTGATCAAAAATATTACCTCTAAACCTTCCGCCTTGCTGATATTAAGTATATGCCCGTAAATTAGGGCAAAAGAATATCTGATCACTTAAGGCTATGAGCATGATAGATTTAGAAATAAACTATAACTTTCAACTTTTTAAGCACAAGTTTGAATTTTTCATT